GAGCCCGCGCGCGCTCCCGAGTCGTTCTGCCAGTTCCGCTCGTAGACCTCGAAGCCGCCAGCCTGGCCAATAAGAATAAGACGCTCCACTGCCAAGCGCGGCCCAGGGAAGCCTCAGTCATCGCGCTGCGCCGGTGAGTACACCGAGAGGGCCTTCAGCATGAAGTAGCGCTTCCCGTTCTGGAGGTGGACGCCAATGACGCGGTCGCCCCTCTCCGCTGCCTGCCGCTCCTTCACCCAGGCCCCCCGATCAGTGGCACTGACTCTAGCGGCCCAGCCCGCGACGCCGTTGGTCTCTGCAACTACGGAGTTCAAATCGACTCGCGAGATTGGGTCGGAACCAAAAATCTCGCCCCCTTTGGCCCTCGCGGGCCACGGCGCACGCGCCAAAACAATGTGACGAATCGAGCTCAAGTCATGGGTGTGCTGATCCAGCGTCAGAGTCAACGTGGGCCAAACTCCGTCTCCGCCTGTTCGGACCAACAAGATCCGCACGTGCCAGCAGAAGCCGTCGGCATCGTCAAGGTCGTCCACGAGGACCTGAAACTCCTTGACGTCGAGGGAGCGATCCATCGCTTCGCTCGAAGACTCTAGGGAATCGCCACTGAGCTGAGAGGCAGCGCGGCCGCTGCTAGCCTCCCCACGATGTCAATCGTCACGTCTTCGGCCTGCTCTGAGCTGCGCGCGCCTCGCCGCGCTCTGGCGGCTCGCAAGTAGTCCCGACCGCGGAGTACGGCGATCCCGCTCAGGAGTGCCGCTGAGAGACCGATCTAGTCACGCTCGTGCACCGAGATCTGACTGGTGCTCGCAGGGGCCCCGCGCAGGTCAAAGCGCAGCTGACCGCGGGACAGGGGCAATCTGGGGAGCCAGGACAAGCGGGGCAGCGCAGCACGGCGGCCTCCAGCAGACTCAGCGCAGAGGGCGCCAGAGCCCGAAGGGCCTCCATGCACGCCGAAGCGGGCCTCTAGCACTTTGAGCACACACGGTTGCAGGACGGGCGGAGCATACCGACACGATAAAGCCACGTAGAACAACAATTCGTCGTTTGGGCGTTCGCTTGCAGCCCTACGGCCTGGAACTCCTCAGTAAAGCGAGAGCGTGACTTTGGGTCCCTGCAGCGAGATGGCATTCTAGCGCAGAACATCGCCTGCAAATCGAATGTTCGTGAAGCGTTCTGTCTGTCCTGGAAATTCCCATCCCTGTGTTGCGAGGCGGCCCTTCCACCTGCTGAACACCATCTCTATTACTGCGTTGACCAAACACGGGTTCAAAACGTCCCCCTGGCGAACGCCCCCGGAAAACTGAAAGGCGTCGTTAGTGCCAACTTGGCCAATCTGCCCCCATGGCAGCTTTTGCAACAAGCAAGCGTGCGTCTCATCTACACATTGCTGCAATATGGCTTTGGTAGCCGATTCGCGAAAGACATCATCGAACGCCTTGTCGAAGTCCAGGCTCACAACCAAAAGGTCCTCGTTGAACGCGTGGGCAAATCACACCACGTGCTCGCTGCGATGCAGAGCCTCGTCGGCGCCGAAATCAAGCCGGTACGCACATTGAGATTGTCCCTGCGCTGGTTCCAGCCTCGGCGAAATCCTCGACAAAAGCATTTTGGCCAAAAGATTGTGTAATATCCTTTGCGCTGCCAGCTTGAAGTTTTCGACGCGTCTCCCAGCTTAGGCAGCGTTGCGACAACAGCATGCGGCCACTTCTTCGTGAAAGCCCCGTGGTTCAGACATGCTTGTACGGTTCAAGAATGAATTTCTTTGCTCGCAAAAGTAAGCGCAACATGTGCATCGGACTCCTTTCAATAGCGCTCATTTCTATAGTGCTCACATTCAAATCGAAGTCCAGAAGGGGCCGCACATGCAGGCACATGCCGCACAGTCGAATGTAAATGCCCATGCAACTCAACTAAAGTCTCAATAGCACTGCCGCACATTCGCGCACATGCCGCACGGTTCGATGCACAGTCAGATGCACCGTCTGGCAAAACTCTGAAAACATAAAACGCACATGCGCGCACATGCCGCATAGTCGAAACATCGGAGGAAGGAGGGACAAATGAGCAGGAAAGAGGAATGAGGGGAGAAGCGATTGGAACGAAGGAAGCTAATGCGGCTAGCACTCAAACTGAAACACCATACCCGCATAAGGGATGTGGCATGATATAACACCAATCCAACACAAGGATGGGGTCAGCGCTCCGGTAATGTAGATCACGCGAGGATGAGTCAGGCGAAAAGGGCCTGACCACCTGAGCGCAAGGCATCTCGGAAACCAGAGTTGTGAGGATGTCTCAAGCGAGAAGTAGCTGGACCACCATATGACAGGGCCTCTCGGAGGTCAGAGTTGCGGGGATGCCGCAGGCGAAAGTGGATGGACCACCTGAGCTCAGGGCATCTCCGAGGCGACCAGAGTTGCGGAGTTGTCTCAGGCGACAGTGGCCTGACCACCTCAGCGCAGGGCATCTCGGAACCCAGAGGTGCGAGGATGTCTCGGGCGAAGGTGGCCAGACCATCATGGGCAAGGGCATCACCGAGGTCCGAGTTGTGGGGATGTCTCAGGCGACAGTGGCCTGACCACCTCAGCTCAGAGCGTATCCGATGCCAGAATTGCGAGGACGTCTCTGGCGATAGTGGCCTGCCTACCTCCTCAAGGCATCTCGGAACCGTTGCGAGGATGCCTCAGGCGAAAGTGGCTGGACGATCATGGGGCAGGGCATCTCCGAGGTCAGAGTTGCGGGGATGTCTCAGGCGACATGGGCTTCTCGGAACCCAGATTGGCGAGGATGTCTCTGGCGAGGGTGGCCTGACCACCTCAGCGCAGGGCATCTTGGAAACCAGAGCTGCGAGGATGTCGCAGGCGAAATTGGCCAGACCACCGTGTGGCAGGGCATCTCTGGTCACACAAAAATGCGAGGATGTTTCAGGTGAAGAGGACCTAACCACCTGAGTTCAGGAACTCCCTGACCATCATGGGGTAGGGCATCTCCGAGGTCAGAGTTGCAAGGATGCCGCAGGCGAGAGTGGATGGACCATCTGAGCTCAGGGCATTTCGGAATACTGCCCACCCGACCATGGCCTGGCCGGCCCCCGCCTTGTTGCACGTTCCGCACATGCCCCGCACAGCCACGCACAGCATTTGCACAGGCCGGGCCAGGCAAGCGACGACCCTAACCGGACACCAAGCTCGCATACAAAATAAACATGAGGCGTCTCGTGAGCTCAGCGAGGCGTCCCATGGGACATCACGCCCCTCTCGGCGCCTCCTTCGGCACAGCCCTCACGCAGATCGAGGCCTGCAAGGACTGTTGGCACCTCGTGTGGGGGCATATCCGAGCACAGCATTGCGAGGATGTCTCAGGCGACAGTGACCTTTACCATTTGAGTTCAAAGAATTTCAGAACCCAAAGTTGAGCGGATATCTCAGGCGAAAGCGGCCGGGTCACCATAGGACAGGGCATCTCCGAGGTAAGACTTGCGAGAGTGTTTCAGGCCAGAAAGACCTGACCACCGCAGCTCACGGCATATCCGACGTCAGAGTTGCGAGGATTTTTCTGGCGAGGGTGGCCTGACCACCTGCGCAGGGCATCTCGGAAACCAGAGCTGCGAGGATGTCTCAGGCGGAAGCGGATGAACAACAGGGCATCTCTGAACCCAGAGTTGCGAGGATGTCGCAGGCGACAGTGGCCTGACAACCTCAGCGCAGGGCGTCTCTGAGGTTGGAATTGTGCGGATGTCTCTGGGGAAAGTGACCTGACCACCTGCTGAGGGCATCTCGGAAACTAGAGTTCAGACCACACTGCCAACGTGGGCTGACCACCGCAGGTCAGGGCATCTTGCAATCCAGAGTTGCGAGGATGTCTCAGGCGAAGGTGGATGGACCAACTGAGCTCAGGGTATATCTGAAGCCAGAGTTGCGAGGATGTCTCAGTCGACAGTGGCCTGACCACCTCAGCGCAAGGCATCTCGAACCCAAAGTTGCGAGGATGCTTCACGCGAAAATAGGCAGACCACCACGTGGCACGGCATCTCGGAGGTCAGCGTTGCGAGCATGCCTCAAGCCAAAGTGGCCTCACCACAATAAGGCACCGCATCTCCGAGGCCAGAGCCTGATTGCCGCGGGAAACTTTGGCCCCCCCACAGGCCCGGAAGGTCACGAGGCGCTGAAGGCCCTTGTAGTAGGGAGCCCTGAGAATTCCGAGACCGCATGTGCGTGCATGTGCATCGGCATGTGCGAGCATGTGCGGGCGCGGATTCAGCGCATGTGCGTGCAAGTGCGAGCCCACGCTGTCGTCCGCAGGGGGGGGGGCACAGGCGAGTGCGTGCATGTGCCACTGACCGATCTGCGAGTTCTGCACATGTTCCGCTCCGCATGTGCGGGCATGTGCGTGCATGTGCATCGGCATGTGCGAGCATGTGGGGGCACGGGATTCAGCGCATGCACGTGTATGTGCCATTGACCGATCTGCAACGTTCGCACACGTTCCGCATGTGCGGGCATGTGCGGGCATGGGCGTCGGCATGCGGGGGCATGCGTGTAACAATGCTTGCAGCAAAACCCAATGCACATAACCCCGCACATGCCCTTGGCACGTGCGCACAGGACATTCATCCCAAAGCGCCCGCACATGCCGGGCACATGCCTGGCACAAGCTGACTATCCTTCAAAAACTGCGGAGCATCTTGGATTTTGGCCTCGTGGGGCCGTCATCGTCGGTGTCCTCTTGGGCCGACTTGGGAGGCCTCATGGCTTGTCTTGGGCCATTATGAGGCTCGCGTCGGGCTCTCTGGGACCATGCGGGCGCTCTCTCGAACGTGTCTGCGCCGTCGTTGGACGTCTTGGAGCTTTCTTGCGACCGTCCAATATACCGCCCAGGGAGCGCCCTTGCGCCCCGGGAGCGCCGAGCGCCGCCCCGAGCCTAGCTATGGCAGCGCAATCTCGAGCACACTGAGTCGAGAATTGCAGTATGCATACATGCTGTTGGGCTTCACCTTCGCCTCACCCATTTCGCTGAGCAGCGCCAGTGCCCGCTGCCACAGCTCGCCGTGCCCGCACGCGCTGATCCCAACGCTGTAGCTTCTGACGGTTGGCTGCACCTTCGCCTCCATCATCCCGCTGAGCAGCGCCAGGCTCCGCTGCCACTGCTCGCCTCTCTCGCACGCGCTCATGCCAGCGTTGTAGCTGACAGATCTGTAGTATAGACTAGCAGTCGAGCATAGTCGCCAGCCCGGCGAGGGCCAGAGGCGTGCTAAAATCTTTGGCAAGAGCTCCAGAACATTCTTACTTCGCGCGCGCGGGGCGGCCCCTGGGGACCCCCGTGTGAAGAGTATCCCGGGAAGTCCTGGCTCAGAGATGGCTTCTTCTTCTTCTTCTTGGCATGACCTTCGGGGGAACCTTCCCGAGAGGATACCAAGACGGTCTGATTGCGCTCGATGACGGCCGAAGATGGTTCCAGGAAGGTTTCGAAGGTCCCACGACAGCACGCTCCAAGACAGCCCATTATCGCCTCAAGCAGGCCAAGAGGCCCCGGGAGGGACACAGGATCAGGCCTCAGGAAAATAACAACAAAAAGATCTTCGCCCCAAGTCAGCCCAAGATGCTCCCTGGACCAAGAGGGCGCCAAGACGGGCCAAGAGGCCTCCCAAAAGGGTTCCAGATGCCCCCGAAAGTCCCCATGAGGAGTCCGAGCCGACATGCCTGGCCTTGCCCGATACATAGTCCCCGAGACGGAAAGCAAGCTCCCAAGAGGCCCTCTAGAGGCCCCACGGAGCCCGCAAAGACCACCCCAAGAGAGCCTCAAAAGGTCTCAACAATGCTGCCAAGAGGGCTCTGGTCTGCCCCCCGGAAGACACCAAGAAACCTCTTGAAGAGGTGTCTTGTCCACGACCCCGTCTGGCCTCAAAAATGCCCCGAGAAGCAATCGAGATGTCTCCTCCTCCTCATCCTCCTCCTCGCTCACCGTGGGCACGCCAACTAAAACTACAGTCGGACCTAGGTCACAACATCCTGGAAGGTGGAAGAACACGAGAACGATAAGAAAACCAATTGCATCCAAGGGTACCATCCCAAGGGTACACAAGAACATCCGATACGCACGAAGAACACTAGGGCACCCTCCCCGACCCGACCTCGATCTTATACCTCGGCCCAGACTGTAGTAGCGACTGTGATGCAACATGGGCCGGTGGTAAGAGCGTAGCGATTATGTTTGGCGGGCGCCCTGCGGGCCCCAGCCGTGTTATGCTTCGAAGGTAGATGCTGAGATGGAGGACGTGATGGAGGAGAGCGAGCAAAACGAAACCAGGACGAAGAAAATATCAGGTGAGGATAAATCGAGGATCTCTCGGATCCGGCGCCTCTGGAGGATGTCTCGGGTACCGCGGTCTTCTCCGAGCGTTCTGGAATTCTCCGGGAGCGTTCTGGAACGCCCTTGAACGGATGTATCCTCGTCTTTAGCCCCGCCCAAGTGAGATGCATGCATGCATGCATGCTGAGAGCGGATTCGCGCAGTCCGATCCGGCCGATGATGCTTCGATGGGGCAGTGTATTACTTCTCCTGGGGCGCGTATGAATAAGGCGATCCGCGGGCTACGAAGGCCTCAAATCGACATACCCCTCGTTCATTTCCTGCGCCCCCAAGGATCTGAGACATGAAAGCATGAGGGAGTCGCGTATCAAATCTCCTAGGAGACTCACTTCGGCACACCCCCCATGCTCATGGGAGCTCAATCGGCCTCAACGACGGTTCTTATTCGGCGCGCCCCTTACGCCGTATTTGTGCACCATGGATATCCAGCGGCGGTCCGCTGGCCATCGAGACCGTTGAAGGCCAAATCGCCGTACGCTGGCTCATAAGACAGCCTGCCCCCCAAAGGGGCGCCAAGATGACCCAGAGATGCGACGGGCGGTACCGACCCTCGTCGAAGCCATACCCCAAACATCCGCTGATTACCAAATCTGCGTGCGAGTTTCTGACTCCCGCTCTCCGGTGCACATACACGTGATTGCAAGCCTCTGCTCTGATCGTTCTGCGACTCTGCACAGGCAGCGGGGGCGTTGCCCAGATAGGGATCTTGGCGCTCTCGGGGCCAACTTGTGTCCTGCTCGGGGCCTGCGTGAGGCCCTATTGGGCTCTCTTGGGGCACTCCTGGGCCCTTCGGGCTACCTGGGCGTCAACGGGGCTTCTGGGTGGTCATTTTCGGGCCGTGGTGACAGCCTCAGGAGCTCTTAGCAATTGGGCCTATGTTGGGGCGGTCGTGGGCTATCATGGAGCCGCCTCGAGGCCGGCTTGGAGGCCAGGCATGGCTTCTCTGTGCCATCCTGGGAGCCCCCCTTCGAATTTCTAAGGGGCATCCTCGACGTTGTCAAAAACTAGTTCCGCGACCGTCTCGCAAGCCGGGGCGTCGCGTTCTTGCTTCCTTCGGAGGTCTTCTGCAGTCTCGAAAATCAGATCTGGCCTCCGAAGATGAACGTCGCGCCGTGGACGGCGGACTTCCGCTCGGTCGATCCAACTACATCTGGTTGGCATCTTTCTTATGGCTCTTGTAAGAAAAGATGGGGAGCGTGAACAATCGCCTAAGTCATAAACACTCTCGCAGTTTTGGGTTTGGCGAGCTGCCGCCGAGCCTCTTGTTGGGGCCCTGTGGAGCTCTTCGGTCGCCATCTCAAGGCGCGTCAGGCGTCTGGGGGCCGTCTTGGACGCCTGTTTGGCCATCTTGAACCCCCTCGGTGAACGGCGCTTGGACCAGCTGAGGGCGCCCCAATGAGTCTCTTCGAAGTCTCGTCTGGGCCCTCGGAACCCTCCAGTCTCATCGGTGCGCGGGCATGGCCGACTTGGCCGCTCCAGGCCGTAGATACGGCTCGTTCCCCCCTAGGCGCGCTGCACCCGGTATGGCAGAGGAGATGGCGTCTGGCTGCAACATCGCCTCCCGCATTTCGCTCAGCAACGCGAGGGCCCGTTGCCACTGAGCACCTTTCCCGCACGCGCTGACCCCGGCGTTATAGCTGATGATGTTGGGTTTCAACTTCACCTCTCTCGTCTCCCTGAGCAGCGCCAAAGCCCGCTGCCACTGCTCGCCTTTCTCGCACGCGCTGATCCCAGCACTGTAGCTGACTAGGGCAGACCTGTGGACTCCGTCCACGACATCAGCTCGACGTGGCGAGGGGTCTCTGGGCAAGCGCGGGGGGGTGCGGCTGCAGGGCCGAAAGGCGATCAGCTGCTGCTGCTGCTCGGAGGTCCTGCTGCTTCCTCCCCTTCCTCCTCCTCCTCCTCCTCCTCCTCCGCCTCCTCCTCCTCCTCCTCCTCCTCATCCTCTTCCACCTGCTTCTCCTCTTTCGCTGGATTCTCCATGCTTGAGGGGGCCAATAGCCAACTAATATATGTCCTGAGATTTATCTTTTGGGTATGTGTTGGGTATCATGCAACTATGCTCAAGTTATGGTTGGTTATCCGCCAAGTCCGCATGCAATTACATGAGGAACGCAATAAAGAGCGGTTGAGCCATTGAGCCGCAAGCTAGTGGGAGGAGGAGGGAGGAGGAGGAGGGGGGGAGGAGGGAGAGAGGGACAAGAGGAGGGGGAGGGAGGAGGCGGAGGGGGCAGGAAGAGGGAGGAGGAGGAAGGCGAGGGAGGGCAATGGCAGAACCATGACACCCATGCCTTGGATTGCAATCTGGAGTGCGGGATCGGTTGGGGTCGGAAGGTGCGGCGCGGCGATCGCGAGGCGTCAGCCTCGCGCCTGCGCAAGTGATGACGTGGGCCATCGTTGCCTGCTCCTCCTCCTCCTCCCCCCCTCTCCCCCCTCCCGCCCTCCCCCATCCTCCCCCTCCCCCCTCTTCCGCCTCCCCCCTCTTCCCCCCACTCACCCTCGCTTTCCTCCCCCCCCCCCTCCCCCCGAAGGGGGGGGGAACGAGAAAGCCAGAGAGAGAAAGAGAAAGAGAAAGAGAAAGAGAAAGAGAGAGAGAGAGAGAGAGAGAGAGAGAGAGAGAGAGAGAGAGAGAGACGGGGCTGAGGTAGGCAGAGCGGAGCGAAAATCAAGAGAGAGGGGGAGGGCGAGGCAGAGGAAGGGGGACGGAAAAAAGGGGGATGCAACTCCCCCCCGCCCCGACCCCTAACCCCGTTGGTTCCCGCTGTCTCGCTGGGTCCGTTGGTCGGGGGTGGGTGGGGCGCTGCCGACGAGGCGGCCGCTGTCTCTGAGAGGCATCGTTTTCTCTGGCGAGGGCGGCCCGAGACCATCCAACTTCAAGGGGCCACGAGCCTCGGGGGTCGAAGTCGGCGCGCAGAGGCGCCAGGACGGCAAAGAGGCACGGCAGAGACGGCGCCTGCTGGCGCGATGTCCCACGAGCATGCTCTGACAGCACCTGGAGGCGCAATTTCCTACTAGCGTATCCTGCCGATGTTGCAAGAGACTCGGCAATCGATTGAGTCGCTGATATTGCTTTGGAGGGCGCGATGGGGGGAGGGTCAACGGGAGCGGATAATTGGACGGGGGAGGGTGGGAGGAGCGGATGTGGAGAAGAGGGGGGGGGGGGGGGGGGCGGCAGGAGGAGTCCTGAGTGGGCCTCTCTAGGCAAGCCGACGCTGCACGCTCAAGTCCAGCGCGCTGGCTGGCAGGCCCCAGGAGGAGAACATACAATAACCCACATGCGATCGATGCCGATCGATCCGAAACTCCGAGCGCAAGGCAAAGGTGCCCAAGCAACTCGGCCGAGGAAACGGTCGCCAATCCCAGGGACCCCGTCGTTCACCAGTGCTTTCACCTTTCTGAAACAACATCGATGGCTCAAAAATCCCCTGGGCAAAGCAACCGAACAAAAAAATCAGCAGAACACGAATTCAACCTCCTCCTCGGAGCGGCCCGATCAGCCGAGCGTTTGCCCAGCCTCGGCGCGGGCCATCAGCGCGACCAGAGACGGGTGCAGATCGGATAGGACCCTCTCCGAGGTGGCTTTGCGCTTCTCGGCTCCGATCTTCGACTTGAGCTGCACCTTGTTGGCAGCGCTGTGGATCAATACCTGGGCGATGGCGATCTCCCGCCTGGTGATCCTGGCGCGCTCGACGGTAGCCTTCAGCTGGCCGTGCCAGCGGACCTCGGAAATGCCCACCTCGAAGCGGCCCACGAAGGCGTCAACCTTCGCAGGGCTGGGGCGGAGCGGAGGGCACCCAGGGGGGGCGAGGCTAAACGCAACTGGCTCACGTTCCACCCCGAGGCCCCCGAGCAAGGATACACCCGTTTCGATCGCAAGTGAGGCCACAAGGCCACCCCGAAAAACATCGATCGCCACCGGCCTAAAACGCCCCCTGGATCACGCGGGCCGCCCGTTTCAAAGACGCAGGGCGGGGCCGAGGGCGAGCGCTCGGCAATGGGGGGAAGGGGCTGCGTGCGAGGAGTGCGGAAAGAAGTGGCAGGTGTTGTCGGTTGGGCCCGTGCCCGAAAACCTCCTCGGCGTGCCTCTCGAGCTTCGCCACCGCGCTCGAGAAGGCGGCGGTGTTGATCGTGACCAGCGTCGTGCTCACAGCCTTCTTGATCTGGTCGAAGGTCGCGTTGTCCTTCAAGGCGGCGCTCCAGATCTGGGAGTCCTTCGCGCCGCCTGCGACTTCAGAAATCGGCTTCGCATTCAACGTCTCGGCGTACGGGGTCTTCAAAGCTGCGGTGGCCGCCTTCTTGAGCTCCTCCATGTGATCGCTGACCCCGTCCTTCACGACGTTGGCCGCCCTCTGCGCGAACTCGGACGGGCCGTCCATGCAGTAGTCGTCCTGGAACTTATGGATATCCTCGATGAGGGAGCTGATGCGGTTCCACGAAGTGAAGACTGTGGCCAGCGACTCAAGCTGTCGAGACGACGAATCGGTCTGGTCGGGCGCCTGGTCAGCCAGGTGGTTCAGGGAATGGATCTCCTCGACAAGGCGCATCGCGCGAACGTGCAGCTGCTTCCTCTCACAGGGCACGCACTGCATGAGCTTGTTGAGCAACGCCAGGTTGTCGCCGAAGAGCTTCGTCATGTCGGTGTTCTTGAACAAATAGTTGATGGCCTCCTTCACGATCCTCTCCGAAGAAATTCCCAGGCTCGACAACACCTCATCAGACGACGTGGCCACGGCAGTGGTGAGCAGCTCGAGCAGGCGGGCCCGAACCGCGGGATCGATCATCGCCGACGCACCGCCCCTCTCCTTGAGATCCTCCGCCAGGCTCCCCACGCTCAGCTTCGAGGACAGATGCGGCTCGAGGTTCTTGCAACGACTGACTGCGTCCGCCCACGCCGCCTTGCGCTCGGTCAGCTGCGCTGTCTGCAGGACGTCGGCGAGCCACTGAGCGCCTTCCTTCGCTGCTGCGAGGGCCCTCATGGGGTCGGCGTCCTCCAAGAACGGCGAGGCCATCAACTCGGCGGCGTGCGCGTCCACGACCTCCGCCATCGGCTTCGTGGCAACGGAGACGGACTGCGCGCGCGCACGGTCTCGCCATCCAGCCAGCCTCTTCGCCGCATTGATGATCAGGCCGCGCTGCCCGTGCTCGGTCAAACTAGCAAGCTCATCAACGAAGTCGCGCATCTCTCCCATGGCTTCCTGGTGCGTCCCCGAGACGCGGCGCGAGTCCTGCAACAGGGGTCTGAAGCATGCCGATTTCCACAGCAAGCCCACGATCTGCACGTGCAAGGTCTCGTCGGCTCCCCCCCCCCCCCCCCAGACTGGAGGACGAAGTCGCGGGGGCCTTATTGAGCGCTGCCGCGTCCAGCTCCTTGTAGTCGTCGAAATTGTCAATGTCGGTCGGCCTCAGCAGGTGCAGCATGCCCCTCATGGCGACGCCGACCTCGATCGCGAAGGCCTGGGACTCCTCGTCGGCGTCGGCGTCTGTAGCGATTACCAACGAGGCCATCGCGCCCAACCATTCGCACGTGGCATCGGTGTTCTCGAAAGTGATCCCCTCCACAACTGGCCCAATGAAGTGGCTCATCAGCAACTCCTCGGAGAACTTGACCAAGTCCTTCGCTGACGCAGCGACGGTAGAAACAAGGGGGGCGAAGGGGTCGAACTCCACGGCGTCCACGGGCCCATCTGGCTTGATGACCCCGTAAGCCTGGCTCCACTTGTCAAACGCAGATGACACGGTGAGCCCAGTGGTCGCCATATTCGCAGCCCTCAGGCACATCATCTTCTCCTGATCCAAAGTAAACGCAACGCCGTAGGAGGTGATCGTGTCGATGCTTGCCTTGTACGTGCGGTCGTCCCAAGTCACGATGTTGCTCGCCGTGCTGAACGCGACGGCGGTCGAGAAGACATCGTACGCGGACTCCATTCGCCTGGCCTTCTCGAGGGTGTGTTCTTTCTCAGGCTCATTCATGGTCGTGGCAGCGACCTTCATGCTCCCGAAGCTCTCTTTGGACCTGCGGAGTTTCTGGCTTCTGTTGACGCCCCCGATCAAATCCTCCAGCACGATCGAATTGATTTTCTGCGTGGTCGGGGAGCTTGGGTCCTTCGAGGCCTCGATGGTTGTCCTGACTGATTCGGCCATTGACTTACCTCGGATCCTTTTCTTTGGGCTCATCGGAGCGCCTGCTCCGTGAAGCGACCGCCCATCGGAAATCTCCCTGATCTCCTCCGCGGCGTTCGCCCCGTCCTCTGGCAACTCATCTGGAACGGTCGCCCCGTCCTTGGGCGCCTTGATCCTGGCGTGGATGTCAGCGGGCTCCCACGACGCGAGCCTCATTGTTCTCACCATCGGGTCTTCCTTGCCACCCGACTTCGCAGGCCGTGCAAAAAAAAATCAAACACGTCGTTGCCCTGACCTTCTCTCACCTGCGTGAACGGCGTCATCTTGGACTCGCCGCAGAGCACCGATGTGTCGTAGTACCATTTGCACACGATGCCCAAGCCCTTGGGGATGCTGCCGTCGTCGACGACACAAACACCATGGTATTGATTCCCCTTTGTGTCAATGAGCATGGACAGCTTAATGTTGGTCTCCTCGACGGACTGCTTGAAGTGCTCAACGAAGTTCGCTGGCGTGAGGCCGCGGTACTTCACCTGGATCATGCACCCGCTGCGGCGCTCGACGTCGACGTGGCCAGGGAAGAACGGTTTGACACCATCTGGGTTCTCAGCATGCACCTTCGACTGCTCCCAAGCCTTGCTCTTCGCGTCGCTGCTGTTGACCTCGGCAGCGATATGCTCCCACGTCCCGCGCATCTCATGGCTGAGCCACACTGGGTGGCAGCCAGCGCACCTGTCCCCCGTCGGGATGAGCTCGGTCCTGCCGCTCGGGTGGACAACTTCCGCCCAAGCGCCCCACGGTTGACCTGGCTGCCACGTTTTCTTGCACACTTGGATGCGGCAACTCAACGCCTGGGGTGCAGAGGTGCCCCCGAGCGTGGCCTTCCCTGTCGAACCAGGCGGCGAGTCGGTCGACGGCGACGCGGCCTTCCTGGTGTTGCAGACCTTCGGGGTGGAGGTGCGCTGCACAACAGTCTTGGCCGCCTTAGCGGGGGCCCCTGATGCCCTGGAGCCAGCGGGGCCAGCTCGCTTCATCGCTCTCTCGCTCGGGGGCTTGCGGCCTGGAAGTCAAGCCAAGCGCAACTGCGCAGATAAAGTGCTCAGTAAAGCAAGCTAAACAGTTAGAGCCCAAATGGCAACGGAGGAGGAAGGGGGCGGGTAGGTCGATGTAACAACAGAAGGGGGACTCTGCCGCCCCTGACCGTGTTTGTGACCAACGCTCACCCAGCCGCGGGCCCGCCCAACCCAGCCACGGTCACGGGCACGCACACCGCGGGGTTAAACAAAAGTGAGGGCCTGGGACTGACCACGCAGACGGGATCTGGTAGGCCGGCGTGCTTGGTGTTTTTGCCAGGGTGTGTTTGGTGTCGTTGAGACGCGGGAGGGCTTCGACCAAGCAACAGATTTTCAAGTGTTTTCATTGTCCCTCGCTCAGGGGCAATGCGCAACCTGGCTGTCCGAAGGTGGAAATCATGTTTCGTGTCGCCCACAACCTCCAAGTCGACCGAACTGGCGAGACACGCAACAAGGACAACTTTCACAATTGCTTTTTTTCTCGTTCGGATCAAGTCGCAGGGGATAGCCCGCGTCAGCGGCGATCCACTGCCTTGCGCGCGCGCCCCGAGAGACGCTGGGAGGATCAGAGTATTGGATCACCCTCCTTCCTACATGTCCTCCCTCCTCCACCCTCGCCTCCTTCACCTCCCTCTCCCCCGCCACCCCCTCCAAGGGGGGTCTGGAGCAACGCTCTACGCCCTCCTTCCCTGTAGCCGCAGCCCAGGGTCGGGAGTTGGGGATGAGCAACTATCGGCCTCCCCAGGGTCGGGAGTTGGGAGACAAGCAACTATCTACCCTCCGCACAGTGGCCCAGGGTCTGAAGTTGGGAGACGCGCAACTATCTACCCTCAGCCCAGGGTCGGGAGCTGGGAGATAAACAACTATCTACCCTCCGCGGAGGGTCGGGAGTTGGGAGATAAACAACTATCTACCCTCCGCTGGGGGTCGGGAGTTGGGGGATAAGGAGTTATCCCCCTGGGCGGCCAGGACCCATAAACTTTATCCCAAAACCCATAAAATTTACCCCCAAACCCGTAAAATTCATCCCCCCCGAGATAGTAATTTATCCCCCCTCCCCAGGAGCCTGGAGTTGCGGCTCGGTGACCTTATCCCTCCCCCCCAGGAGCCTGAAGTTGCGGCTCGGTGACCTTATCCCCTCCCCCCAGGAGCCTGGAGTTGCGGCGCTGTGACCTCATCCCTCTCCCCCAGGAGGGACAAGTTCAGCGACCCTCACCGACGCACCCCCCCTGCGAAGGGGGATCAGGTTGAGCGAGGAGGAGGGCGGCGAGGGGAAGGCAGGGTCGGGTTGAGGAAGAAGGGATGGGGGAGGGAGCATGGACAAGGTTGGCGATGAGAACGGAGGAATGAAGGAGTCGGCCCCGACGCATTGATGTGTTAATGTTTTTGTCTGTCCGCGCTCAGTCCTGAGCTCTATCCCTCCGACAGCTCGGAGACGCCCTCGAGACCGAAGCCGAGCTCGGCTTCGAACCACTCCTGCGTGCCGTCGAGCTCCCGAAACCGAGCCCTGGCGGCCAGACGAGTCTCCAAGTCTGGGCGGTAGCTGATGTGCTTCCCCTTCGTGTCGCACTCGGGGGCCATGCCGAAGTCGAGCCACGACCAGATCTCGCCGATGGGGCGATTGATGCGGCACGTCCTGGACATCGCGCAGCCATGGCGTGCGCAGACGCCCCTCATGTCCTTCCCCTCCTTGCCCTTCGTCGTGGACAGGCGGATGTAGCTCTCCCGCCCGTCGAAGTAGGAGTGGTGGATCTTCGGGAACAAGCCCCGCCGAGCCTCTCGAACGACGTGGGCGGCGTGCGGTGGAGGCGGAGGCGGGTCGTCGTCGTCGGGGCCGTTGCTCGACGACGCGGAGCTGCTGGACTGCGAGCTCCCAGAAGAAGAAGACGATGATGACGACGAGCTTGACAGCGGGTCGTCCTCGCCTGACGCCCCGCCTCCGCCCTCCTCTGCGACGCCTTCGGGCTCAGCAAGGGCGTCGCCGATCAGCTTCTCCACGGTGGGCGCGTCCTCGTCCAGCAAGGGCACTGGCTCTCCTGGAAGATGCGCCCCACCCCCCTCCGCAGCTGGTCCACCGCGGTGAGCTGAGGCCCCAGCCGCCCAATCCTCCAGCTTGTTGGAAGGACGCGCCCTCTTCGGCGCACTCCCCTGGCGAGACCTGTGGATGGCGTCGAGCTGCAACCTGCGCACGCGGATCTCGACCTTGTTGGGGACGACCTCGCCGATGAGCCTCTGAGATTGAACGACGTCGCACCACGCAATGGACCACGCCATTCGGTCATCAAGATCGGCAGCGAGCTGCCAATCGCCGAACGCCGAACGCAAAGACTCCAGCCATACCGTATCATCAGCTGCAGCTGGGAGTAGTCGTTGAACATTGTCTGGGTCGGTGCTGAACATCGAGACGGCCTTCTCGGAGTCGACGTCCAGCGTCCGCAGCTCGAGGAAGCCCAACTCGCAAGGGCTCAAGACGACATCCGATACGTGAAAAAAACCTCAACGTAGACTCCTTGCGGCCGTCCGCGAAGTCCCTGGAGCCAAGAAGAGCAGCGACAACAAATCCATCTAACAGGAGAGGCCGATCAGCACCACGGCGGAACTCCGCCTTCGTCCTCGCCAAGATCCTGGCGTAACGCCCAGCGACTCTAGCCCCATCTGTGCCACAGACACACCTATTCGCCAGAAAGCACAGGCGCAATTTAGCAGGCACAGGATCCGTGATCGGCCCATCAACGACGTCGTCCACGGCTGCAGGTATCATGGAAGCAGCGTGGTTCCACAACTCGTGAACCCCTCGATGGGCTCGCGCAAGATCAGGCGACCCGCGCGAGTAGAGCGAGGCGATCGCCTTGGCGTAATCTGCAGTGCCAGGGATGCTGCACTCGTAATGCACGAAGTCCGACTCCGTTGTGCCGCATGGGACCTGCTGCCACGAAGTAGACCACTTGGCCATCGAAGGCACGATCTCCTGTGCCCTCGCAAGGTTCCGTCCTCCTTCGCCGTCTGCAGAACAATGTGCGTCCAATAGGCGTTGGTCACGGTGTTGCTGATCCCGATCGCGGCGCCGTCGATCTCGAAATGCTGCGACTACAGCTTCACGATGAGACCATGCGCTGTCGAAAGGAACGACGGCCCCCGCGACGGACTCCACGATCGCTCTCTCTCCTGAAACGGACGGGCCAGCCCCGACGTCGACAGGGCCTGGATCACGGGGACGCGCAGCCTCAATTGGTGGCACCAAGTTCCTCCGCGCAACCTCTGCCTGCAAGCTTGCCCACTGCAACGGGTCCTGCTTGATGGCCCGAAACTCGGCCGAGAGCTCGGCCATGGCGGGCTGGCCCGCCGATGCACCTGACATCCTGGACGAGCGGAACACGTCCCACTCGCACAGCGTCCGCTGGCGCGAGGCCTTCGATGCCTTGCGCCCCTGGGAATCCAAGCGGGCTCGACGCTTCTCCTCCTGGGCTCCGCGAGAATCCTCCCCGCGGACGTGCTCACCAACCAGGTAGGCGTTCAACGACTTCAAATCACAAGCTCGTCGCATGTTGTCTGCTTCCACCAAGAATCTGCGAAACGTGCCGTTCCGCTTCTCTACCTCCAGCGTCTCCTCGCGCCCATTGACATTGGCTGCGATAAGAGCGACCTGAGCGTCGCGAGATGACAAGTCCGTGTGCACCGACATGAACTCAGCGCTCCACATGTCCATGCGCCTGGGGCAGGTGCTGTCGGCTTCCACCTCCCCCCGCAACTCTGGCAACCAGGGGGTCGCGAGCAGCTTGAACGGGTAGTTGCTGTGCGTCACCTGCAAGCGCTTCACCCGCACGACACCTTTCGCCAACGTCCTGAAGAGCGACGTCTGCCTCTCGTGGGTGCACTCCAGCGCGCCGACGAATGCCCAGGAAGAACCCATCAAGTCGAAGCTGTCCTGGATGAACGTCTGCTCGAACTCGCCGAGATACGCATCAGCCAATCGGTAGCGGCGTAGAGGTGGATCTCCAGGCGCCCATGTTGCACCGAGCTGCCGTTGACGAAGATGTTCTGCTTGCTGCCTCTTCTCGTACTTCTGCCCTGAGCGCCAGAAGTTGCTCTCCATGATCTTCACGTGGGGCTTGATGCACCTCGACAAGCACATCAGTTGGCACAAGACTTCGCTACGGCCAGCGCTCATGGTTGTCCGTACAGTCCTTCGCCATGCAGCTTGCTCCTTTCGCTTCTCTTCGATCTCCGACTTCTCAGCGGTGGACTGGCGCGGCGCCTCAGGGCGGGCGGCCCCGTCCATCGGCACGCCCGTGTCCTCCCTGTCCCCGTCGCTGCCCTCCGCCCCCTCCTCCGCGCTGTCGTCGCCGTCCTCGATCGCTGCGCCCAGCGCGGGCGGCCCACCTGTAGCCGCTGCGGCTGCGGCAACGAGGTCGCCGCGGATCTGGCAGAACCTCTCCCACACGTCTACTAGCAGACCGTGGGGGGCAATGAGCCTCCCGAACCAGTTGGGCGCATCCTGTACTCGCTGCCACTTGTTCGACGGGAAGCTGGTCGGGAGGCCACCGAGCATGTGCTTCACCAACGACCTGACGACCTTTGCTGCATGCTGCGCGTTGGTCTCGTCCTCCCTGGGAAAAAGCTCGATGACGCCCGTGCGGGTCCAATCGCCAGGCAAGCACTCCACGATGACTGCAGCCGCGACGCTGTCCTGCCGAGACCCTTCGTGGACGAAGTAACTCATGAGCTCAATGTTCTTCGCGCGCTGCGACTCCGACGGGCGCCTGTCCCTGACGAAGCTCTCGCCGACCATCTTCGCGTAGAGGACCTGCTTAAGAGCACGCCTCATTCACCTCATCATGCCCCCCGCACGCAAGGCGAGGATCCCGTGCTTCACCCACTGCACTGTCTTTGCCAGGATGCCGAGCGCTTCCTCGCGCGTCGTTGCCAGCCTGTGCAATGCGCATGTGGTCCTGAGCTGCCTCTCGCCGCTCTCGACGTGCTCCGCCCGCTCAGCCCTGGCGATAGATGCATCCCCGTCCGAACAAGACGACCTCGTGGAGGTCTCAAAGGCCTGCTTGTGGAAGGAGAGACCCAAGTAACTGCCCACGCGCTTGAGCGCCTGCCTCCAGTTGTTGGCCGTCGTGCCCTCCACGCAGAGCGTTGGCACCCACGGCTTGAACCTGGGAGGCCGAGAAGGCATGATCGAATACCCCTACCTCGAACACCGGTTCGGGACCCCCCCCCCGTCCAGACGGAGGGGGGGGGGAGGCGCGGCGACGTGGGCGGCGAAGAGCACGACTGGGAGGAGAACGCATCGATGGTGCGACGCAGAAAGGGGGGCGGCTGAAAAGGAGGTGCCAGAGGATGGAGGTGCGATGTGGCGAACGAGACCGACGAACAAGAGGGGGAATGGATGGTGGGGGAGCTGGAGCAACAAGTGCTGCGGTGGGAGGTTTGAGAAACCAGAGCACGTGATAAGCATGAACGTGCCGTTGATCTCGAACAACGTCTCGATGGTGACCAACGTGTTCACCAACTTGGTCGGGGCCGCGTCCGCCTGCTGCAGGTCGGACGGCTTGAGATCACCCAGCATGAAGTCACCGTCGTCGTCGTCCACGCCCCCCATCTCGTAGTCGATCACGCAGACCTTCATCGGCGTCTCGTCGGTCCTCACGTTGACGTTGATCGAGATGCAGCGCCCGCCAGCTGCCAAAATGTCCCGAGTGGCGGAGATGATCACGCTCCGCATCAGGCCGTTGTAGATGATGGCCATCGAGCCGTGGTACAATGCGAGTCGGCGCCGAACCGTGGATGCAGGGCTGCTGAAGTCGGCCGCCAACCTCGTCAAGGGCGCCCGAAGGAGAGAAGTTGGAGACGAAACCAGGCCTTCCAGCAACCGCAACACTCCACCACCCACCCGAGAAACGCTGTCGGGCAAGTGAACGGAAGCCAGGGCCGTGCCATACACCGCGATGGTCCGCGAGAGGATGAAGTCGCCTCTGAGGTTTCAAGGGGCGGGAGTGGAGCGAGGAGAGATGGAGGGAGGAACGAGGAGGGAGGGGGGGCGGGGTGCGAGGAGGGGGGAGGGAGAGCGAGGAGCGAGGAGGTTAGGACGGCGGCAGGATAAGATTTTAGCGCGGGGTCAAAGATGAAGCCCAAGTCCAGGAGAGGACCCAGAAAACGGGACCCCGCGGGGCCCCAACAAAAACATGTTGGAACCAGGGTGCGAGAGGGTGCGGAGGCGCTCGAGGGGGAAATCGGCTACTGCTGTTTAGCTACCCTGGGGGGTCCAAACATACGTCTGGGTGGGGGTGGGGGGGGGGTGCGCATCTCCTGCTCTTCCTATCCAGGGAGATCCCTCCCCCGAAATCTCCTTCGGGGTCTGCGAGCACGTCGACGGACTCCCCTAGCACCTCCCTGAACGCCTGGAGCGGCGCCGCGGGCACGGCCAGTGCGCCGTGGTCGGCGGCGGCGCCGGCCTCCTCGCCGATGTCGGCGGCAGCCCAGATCTCTAGCGCGCACTGCTCGTCCCCTGCCTGGGCCTCGCCATCGCGAGCCCACGCGTCAAGCAGATCGTCCTGCATGGGCCGACAGGCCCTGGGCGCCGCTCATCTCAGAGCGGAAAATGTCCCCAGCCAAAATGGCTGGGAATAGCCACGCGACGACAAACGACGGCGACGACGATGAGATGCAGCCCCCGCCCCACGGCCCATGCCCCCGATGTGCGCCCCCCAGAAGTCGTCGATCACCCCGCCTCCGCACGGGGGGGGGGGCGAAGTTACAGACGGGGCAGGGGCATGGCCAACAGCAGACACAATCGCAAGATGACGAGGCGAAGAAGAGGGCAAAGGAAGAGGAGACGGAAGCAGGAGGCCAAGGGGAAGGAGGAGAAGGAGAAGAGGATCGAGTTTTTTGGGTTTGCTCTCTGCAATGGCAAACAACGGGTTTACATGCCCAAGCTGGGCTGACTCGTTCGCGATGGGCACAACACGCTGGGGCCACCTCAGGACGACGCCCCTCTCGCAAAGGATCAGACACCGCGTTGCTCCGCTACCATGCATATAGTAACTTGCGTTATCGGGGATACCAAGACGCACCCCAAAAGATAAATCTCAGGATATAGATTAGTTGGCCATTGGCCCCCTCAACTCCATGCCCTCGGTCGGCAATCGTCGATCCTACGACGACTCTCCCCAACAGAGAAACATCGAAGGCCCTCGGAGCGTCCAACATTGTTCCCTTGTGCCTTCGATATGCCGGTCGCCTCTCGTCCGCTCCCCCCCTCCTGGAAGCAATTCTGAGGCCACTTAGGGTTTCGTGGGGGCCGTTTGGGGATCTCTTGGGGCGTTTTTGCCTGCGATATGCCTGTCGCCTCTCGTCCGCTCCCCCGCTCCTGGAGGGAATTCTGAGGCCACTGAAGGCTTCGTGGGGGCCGTTTCGGAGCCTCTTCGGCCTTCTTTTGGGCCTCCCGGGGGCTCTTAGGGCCCTCTCGGGCCGTCTTGGGTGCCTCTTGGGCCGTCTCGGGGCCGCCTGAGGCCCGCCTCGGTGCCTCTTGAGCTGTCTTGGGCCGTCTTGGGCCGCTCCTGGGGCCGTCTTGGGTGCCTCTTGGGCCGTCTTGGGCGCCTCCTGGGCCGTCTTGGGGCCGTCCTGGGCCGCCGTGGGGCCGTCTTGGGGGCCCTCTTGGCCCGTCTTGGGGCTGTCTTGGGGTCCCCTTCGGCCGTCTTGGAGCGGTCTGGGGGAGCTCTTGGCCCGTCTTGGAGCGTCGGGGTGCCGAAAAGGCGAGGAGGCCGAAACCATCGAAAAACACAATGGAAATCGACGGTTTCTACCGCTCGGGGCCCTCTTGGGAGGCCTCTGGGGAAGCCTCTTGGGGCGTCTTGGAGGCTTCTTGGGCCGTCTTGGGCCAATCTTGAGCGTCTTGGGCCCATCTTGAGGCGTGCCGGGGCCCTCCGGAGCCGTCTTGGGGGCCTCTTGGGGCTTCCTTGGCGCGTCTTGGGGCCTCCCGGGGCGGCCCGGGGCCAGCCCGGGGCGGTTTCGGTGCATTGGGGCCTGCGCCATTCTGGCACGCACTGGGCCCTGCAATGTAGTAGAGACTAGGGCTGACTCGTGGACTCCGTCCACGGCATCCAGCGCCCTCGCCTCAGGAGGCAGTATCGAAGCGTCTTAGGGGCCATTTGGGGGCATCTTAGGGTCTCTTTTGGCCCTCTTTGGGGACTCTTGGGGCCTCTTGGGAGCCTCTTGGGGCCTCTTGGGAGCTTCGTGGGGCGGAGAGCTACAATTTTCGGTCCGTGGTCCCTCTCTTGGGGCCGTCTTGGCGCCCTCTTGGGCCGTCTTGGGCGCCCTCTGGGATCGTTCTGCGAGCCTCTTGGGAACTTCTGGGGCCGGCTTGGGGCGGTCTTGGGGGCCTCGTGGGCCGTCGTCATTGCCGTGGAGACCGGAAAGCCGCACATGCTTAAAATGTACGCTGTCCCATCGGAAATTGATGAGTGTGGCCTCTAGGGGTCCTCGTGGGAGTCCGCTTGGAAGCCTCTGTCATCGTCTTGAAGGCTTCGTGGGTCGGCTTGGCGTCATCTTGGGCGGCTTGGGGCGATCTTCGGGCGATTGGGGACGTCGGAGGCTGTCATGAGGCCATCCGGGGGGGCCGTCTTGGGCTCTCTTGGGCCGTCTTGCGCGCCTCTTGGGCCGTCTTGGCGCCTTCTTGGGTCGTTTTGGGGACTTCTTGGGAGCTTCTTGGGCCGTCCTGGTGCTGTCTTGGGAGCCTCGTGGACCGTCGTCCACGCCGTGAAGGCCGAACAGCCCCACGTGCCACAAAGGCACGTTTCCCCATAGGAAAATAACGAATTTGGTCTCCATGGGTACTCTTTGGGAACGTCTTGGGGCCATCGTGGTGCCATCTTGGGCGGCCTGGGGCGATCTTCGGCGACTGGGGGCCGTCTGAGCCCGTCTTGGAGCCAACTGGGGGGCCGTCCTGGGGCCTTCAGTGGCCGTCTTGATTGCCTCTTGGGCCATCTTCGCGCCTTCTTGGGACGTTTTGAGGGTCTCTTGGGAGCGTCTTGGGCCGTCTTGGGGCGGTCTTGGGGGTCTCGTGGACCATCGTCGACGCCGCGAAGGCCGAACAACCGCATGTGCTTAAAATATACGTTTTCCCATAGGAAATTTACGAATTTGGGCTCTGTGGTTTCTCCCGGGAATCCGCGAAAAGGACTCTTGAGACGTCTTGGGGGCTTCTTGGACCCGCTTGGGGCCATCTTGGGCGGCGTGGGGCGATCTTCGGGCAACTGGGGGCCGTCTCAGGCTGTCTTGGGGCCGTCTGGAGCTCTCCGGGGGCTCTCCGGGCCTTCCTTTCCGCCCCGGTGACCCGATTGATGCCCAGGCCCTTCTCGCACGCACGGGTCCCAGTATTGTAGTATAGACTAGGGCTGACCCGCGGCCTCCTGCCGCGGAATTTGCCCGCTTTGGCGTGCACGTGGAAGTGGAGCGTCTCTGGGGCCTCGCGGGTAAGGGGAGGTTGGAGGGGACAGCGTGGATGGAGGTGGCCGCTGGAGGGGAAGGTGGACGAGGGATGCAGGCAAGCAGGCCTGAAGGCAGGAACGCGGTGGTGGAGGCGGTGTCAGTGGAAGCGCACCCATGTAGGCCTGACATGGTGTGGACAGAATCATAGTTTCTGCCGGGAAGGTAGCCATGAGAAGTTGATCTGCTCTTCGCCGGGGCCGAATGATAATTTCATCTGGCAGTGTGGTGACAATGGGACCAGTGGGCGCGGCCTAGGAGGCCCGCAAGAGGGCGGCGAGACAAACTCCCTAAGAAGAGCCCCATTGCGAGGACACGAGTCGACTTTTCGAGCGCACCTCCCCAAGACGTCCCCAAATAGCGCAGAGATGGCTCCAAGAGGGTCCAAGAAGCATCCAAAACGATGCTGGAAGTTCGACGCTCCCCAAGAGAGAAGCATCCAAGGCCTATCGGGGGCTGCTTGGGGGCCTCTTTTCGTCGTCCTGGGGGGGGATCTCTCGGAGCCCTCTTTGGCAGTCTTGAATGCATCTTGGGCCGTCTTGGGGCGATGTGGGGCCGTCTTGGGCGCCTCTCGGACCGTCTTGGGACAATATTGGGGCCATCTTGGGCAAATATTGGGCGCTGCTGGGGCTGTCTTTGGTGTTTCTTGAGCCGTCTCGGGCGCCTCTGGATCCGTCGCGGACGGCCTAGAGACCGTTTTGGAGACTATCCAAACGGAAAGGCTTGGAGACGGGGCGGCGGGTGCCTCTACAGCCGTCTTGGAGACGGGGCGGTGGAGCCGTCTTGGGCCATTATTAACTGCTCTTGGGGCTGTCTTGGGTGCGTCTTGGGCCGTCTGGGGCGCCTCTGGAGCCGTCCCGGGGCAGAGTGTGGCCCTTTGGGCGCCCTCATGGGGTTGTCTGGGCGCGTCTTGGGGCGAGCTGGGAGGCCCGTACCGTATAGCCTTCTGGACGCTGCGAAGACGAAAAAGCAAGATATATTGAACATGTGCGTTTCCCGTCGGGAAGGGGAAGGTTCGGGCCTCTTGGGGCTCTCCTGGAGGCCCTCCTGGGCCGTCTTGGGAGCCTCCTGGCCTGCCTTGGGGGCCTCTGGGGCTGTCGTGGGGCTCCTAAGGGTGCTATGGGGCCGTCTTGGCGCCCCCTGGAGCCTCTAGGAGACGTCCCGTTGGCCATTCTTGGCTGCTCGTGGGGCTGTCTGGGTGCGTCCTGGGCCGTCTGGGGCGCCTCTGGAGCCGTCCCAGGGCCGTGTGGGGCCCTTTGGGGGCCTCTGGGCGCGCCTTGGGGCGAGGTGGAGGGCCTCTATAGCCGTCCTGGACGCTGCGAGGACGAAAGAGAAGGCGAGAAGGCGGCAAGGGCGGTCTTGTGGGTGCCTTTGGCAGTCTTGGAGCGTCGGCTAGCCGAGAAGGCGAGAAGGCAAAACTCCTTCAAACACAACGGAACATTTATGAATTTGGCCTCTGGGGGCATGCTTCGAACTACTGTTGGAGGCTCTTGGAGGCCTCTTGGGGGGGTCTTGGGGCCTTGTGTGGGCGTATGGGGGCCCAGGGCTCGGAGTGTCAGGGCTTTTCCCCGTTCTTTGGCCCCCTCGTGGGCCTGGCTTGGGGTCCTCTGGGGCCGGCTTGGGCGCCTCTTGGGCCATCTTGGGGCTCCCTGGACCGTCTGGGGACGCGCTTGGAGGCCTGGTGGGCCGTCCTGGGGCGGTCTTGTGGGTATCGTCGGCCGTCTTGGAGCGTCGGCTAGCCGAGAAGGCGAGTAGGCAAAACTCCATCAAAAACCATTGGAAAATAAAGGATTTTGGCCTCTGGGGGCATGCTTCGAACTACTGTTGGAGGCTCATGGAGGCCTCTTGGGGTGGTCTTGGGGCCTTGTGTGGGCGTATGGGGGCCCAGGGCTCGGAGTGTCATGGTTTTTCACCCTTCTTTGGCCCCCTCGTGGGCCTGGCTTGGGGTCCCCTGGGGCCGTCTTGGGCGCCTCTTGGGCCATCTTGGGGCTCCCTGGGCCGTCTGGGGACGCGCTTGGAGGCCCGGTGGGCCGTCCTGGGGCGGTCTGGTGGGTCTCTTCGGCCGTCTTGGAGCGTCGGCTAGCCGAGAAGGCGAGAAGGCGAAACCTGGCAAAACAATGGAGAAAAAAACAGATTTTGGCCTCTGGGGGCATGCTTCGGAGGACTGTTCGATGTTCTTGGAGGCCTCTTGGGCCTTGTTGGGGGCCTCTAGGGGGCCTCTTGGACGCTCCTTGGACCCTCTTATGGCCACTGCGGCGCGTCTTTGGGCGGAGGGCTCGATTTGTGACACTCGGGGGCCACGGAGACTCTTATGGGGCCGCTTGGGGGCCGTCTTGCGGCCTCGTGGGGCTTGCTTTGGGCTTCGTTGGGGCCTCTGGGGACCTCTTGGCGTTCCCTTGGGGGGGTCTTGGGGCCTTGTCATGGGGGCCCAGGGCTCGGGGTTCTTTGGCCCCCTCTTTGGCCTGGCTTGGGGTCCTCCGGGGCCGGCTTGGGCGCCTCTTGGGCCACCTTGGGGCTCCCTGGGCCGTCTGGGGACGCGCTTGGAGGCCTGGTGGGCCGTCTTGGAGCGGTCTTGTGAGCGTCGTCGGTCGTCTTGGAGCGTCGGCCAGCCGAGAAGGCGAGTAGGCGGCAAAACTCTTTGAGAAACCATAGACATGAAGGATCTTGGCCTCTGGGGCCATGCTTCGGACTACTGTTGGAGGCTCTTGGCGGCCTCTTGGGGGGCCTTGGGGCCGTGTGTGGGCGTATGGGGGCCCAGGGCTCGGAGTGTCAGGGCTTTTCCCCCTTCTGTGGCCCCCTCTTGGGCCTGGCTTGGGGTCCTCTGGGGCCGTCTTGGGCGCCTCTTGGGCCATCTGGGAGCTCCCTGGGCCGTCTGGGGACGCGCTTGGAGGATTCTTGGGCCGTCGTGGAGCGTCGGCTAGCCGAGAAGACGAGAAGGGAAAATTCCTTCCAAAACCATCAAGAAAGGAAGGAGTTTGGCCTCTGGGGGCATGCGTCGGGGTACTGTTGGAGGCTCGTGGCGGCCTCTTGGGAGGGTCTTGGGGCCTTGTGTGGGCGTATGGGGGCCCAGGGCTCGGAGTGTCAGGGCTTTTCCCCGTGCTTTGGCCCCCTCTTGGGCCTGGCTTGGGGTCCTCCGGGGCTGTCTCGGGCGCCTCTTGGGCCATCTTGCTCCGCTCCGAGCACTTTATTCCGCGTCGCGACGCACACCACCTCCCCCCCCTCCCTCCCCCATCACCACCTGGGATTTGGGCCCCGTTGCTGGGCCCCGAGGGGCGATGTCTTGCCCCCTCTTCCCCCCTCCTCCTCCACCTCCTTCTCCTCCCCCTTCGTTTTTGTGCAAGAGCCATGGCACACGTGCCACTTGTTTGAGATATCTGTGGCCCTCTTGGGGCCCTCTTGTGCGGTTCAGTTATTCTCTTGGAAATCTGTTGGAGCTATCTTGGGGCCGTCTTGGGGCTCTCTTGGGCCGTGTTGGTGCGTCTCGAGCAGGCCTGGGACCGCGCTGGCATCAGCCGGGCCGATTTTGATCTACCTGACTCCAGCCACCCTTCTGGCACGCGGCGCAGGTGGCATTGTAGTAAGGATTAGCGTGGACCCGTGGACTAGAAATCATCACGAGCTTTCAGCCGAGCGCGCTCAGCCTCAGCAGCGGCGACGACACCAATAAAGCAGTGGCTGCCTTGGGCCGTCTTGGTGCTCCGTCTGAAGGACGCGTCGCTTCGGAGTCTCGTCAGGACCCTCCGGGGCCGTCGGTGGGCCGGCTGGGCCGATCTGGCCCCCTCGCAGATGTATTGCTCGCAACCTTCGTGCGCGCTGCACACGGCATTGTAGAGATGTGCCGGATGCCTTGCTTCCTTGCTGGGTTGCCTTGCCGGATTCGCTCGATGCCGCGTACTGCCGCCTGGTCCTGCATCATGATACTTGGTTGTTTGCTACGTCTTGCTTCTGCCTGGTCTTTGCTGGTCCGTGCTGCTGATTGTTGCGGCTTGGTGCCGAATATTGCTGATGTCTGGTGTTGCTTCTACGTGCTGCTGCCTGCTGTTGCTTGAACTAACGCATGCTGCTGGTTGCTGCTGTTGCCCGCCGCTGCGTACAACTGCTGGCTGCGACTTGCTGCTTATGTTTCCTGCTGCTGCCCACTGCTGATGTTGTCTACTACTGCTGCTGGCTGCTCATAACCACTGCTGCATCTGCCGCTACTGGATACGTATGTGGATCATGTTGTGGCTCTGCTTAGCAGTATTGGGGGGCATCTGGGAACGCCCAATTCGGCGCCGCTGCGCCAAAACAGCCTCGAGGGCAAGACGGAGCAGAAGTTGCTGGTATCCTCCTCTTTTGCGCTGGCTCCAGCAATGCAGTGTAGATGTCCCAGCGATGTAGCGAAAGACGTCGGGCTCCAGCTTAACCTCCGACATCTCGCTGAGCGTTGCCAGAGCTAGTTGCCACTGCTCGCCCTTCTCGCACGCGCTGATCCCAGAGTTGTAGCTGACTCGAGCTGACCCGTGGCCTACCAGCCACGAAATCTGTCCCAGATGGTAAGGTGGACCAGGGCAGAGAAGTTGCCGAAAAAGTTTCGTAATGACGTTGGGCCCAAGCTTCGCCTCTGATGTTGCTGCATGCAGCTGCAGGGTGCTGCTGCCTGCGGCATGTTACTGCTTCTGCGAACTCTGGCTGTGTGCTGCCGCTGCTTGCTGCGGACTGCTGCTGTTCGCTGTTGCTGCGTGAGGCTGTGATGTTTTTGTGGTATCCTTGGCAGCTGACGCAACCTGGAGTTCGTGAGTGAGCCTGGGGGGAGAAAGCGAGGAGCGATCAGCGAGGAGCAAGGAGCAAGGAGCGATAAGGGGAACATTGATCGAAAAGAGAATATATATATATATATATATAATGAGAGAGAGGCGGTGGGGGATGAGGGAGAGCAGAAGGGGAAGGTGGACGCCAGGAGTCAAGGTGGAGGAGGGAAGGGCAAGGAGAGAGGTAGGAGGAGCGAAGAGGAGTACGAGGCGATGGGGAAAGCGCGAGGAGAGAGAAGCCAGGAACAACAGGAGAACGGCGAGGAACGTGGAACAAGGAGGAGAAAACGGAGACATGAGAAGAGGCCAGCACACGAATGCCTCAATTGCCTCAGCGCTCGTGTGACCGAACATCTGGCCTCGTCTTGGGTCGCCGATTGTGCTCCCTTGGGTGGCCAGCGCGGCCCCAAGGCTCTTGGAGGGATCTACCCTCAGAAGCCTCTGTGAAGCGGTGTGTGTGGTGGTGTCTTGGGCCTCTCGGGGCCCTCTTTGGGCCTGACTTGGCCTTGTGCGGGCCTCCTGGTGCTTCTGGGGGGCTTTGGGGGGTCTGTTGGCGGTCTCGGGGGCCATCTTGGGGCGGAAGGTGCGACATGCTAGTTCCAGCTCTCCCTCTCGGGGCCATCTTGGGTCCCTCTTGGGGCGTCGTGGGTCCCACTTGGGCCGCCTTGAGGCCTTCTTGGGCTGCCTGGGAGCCCTCTTGGGGGCCTGTTGGGCCACCTTTGGGCGATATCAGAAGCCCGAAAAAGCGAGAACGCGGAAATGCTTCGAAAACCACCGGAAATCAATGATTTTGGCTTCTTTGGGCCCTGTTGGGGGGCCTCTTGGGACTTTCTTGGGCCGCATTGGGGGCCTCCAGGGCCGTTTGGGCCCTATTGGGCGCCTCTTCGGCCATCTTGTGGGCCCCGCTGGGCCGTGTAGGGGAGCGTGGCCCGAGGCCCGCCCGGGTTGTCGGAGCTGCCCTGGGAGGGCGTTTCTGCCTCCTGGAACCGTTCGTAGCTCGAAAAAACGCTACTGGTCACAGCACCTTCTCGCACGCAGAGGTTCCTGCATTGTAGAAGAGAGAAGGAGCCGAATTCTATACACGACGTTTTTCCCTCCGCCCGCCCGATGAGAAACAATGTCGAAGCCACATACCTCTTGGGGGCCGTTTGGGTGCATTTTTTAACTTCCTGGGGGTCTCGCAGAGCCCTCTGGGGCCGTCTTGAATACCGATTGGGCAGTCTCATCTGGGGGGCATCTTGGGCGCCTCTGGGGCCGTCTTGGAGCTGTCTTGGGGCTGTTTTGGGCCATTATCGGCTACTCTTGGAGCTGTCTTGGGTGCTTACTGGGCCGTCTCGGGCGCCTCTGGAGCCGTCCTGGGGCCGTGTGCGGCCTTCTTGGGGCCCTCCTGGGGGCCTCTAGGCGCGTATTGGGGCGAGCTGGGGGGGCCTGTGCAACCGTCTTGGACGCTGCGAGGACGAAGAAAACGGAACGTACTAAAAAATGTGCGTTTCCAGACGGGAATGGGAGGATTTCGGCCTCTTAGGCCAATTGGGGCTCTCGAGTCCCCCAGAGACTGCCTGAATCGTCGGGTGGCGACTCATCCGCTCCGACTCATCCGATCCGCGGTTCGGGTGAACCGCGACTGGATGAATGAGACCGGATAAATTAGTCACCGGATTAATTAGCCGGGTAAATGAACCGGGATGAATTAGGCACCAGATGAATTAGCCAGGATGAGTTAGTCACTGATGAGTTTGGCACCCGATGAGTTACGCCCCAGAAACCTTCGAAGACGGGAGATTTTTTCAGGCCGTAAGAAGTCTTACGGCCGGAAAAAAACACTGAAAGAAAAGTACGCCCTGGCGGTACCCCCCTGTCGCAAGACCTTCGTCTCCCAGCCGTGGGGCCGTCTTGGGCTGCCGTGGGGCCGTCTTGGGCCGTCTTGGTCCGCTCTTGGAGCCCTCTTGGGCTCCTCATGGGCTGTCCTGGGGGCCTGTTCGGCCGTCCTGGGTCGGTCTGGAGCGGTCTTGCAACCATGGAGGGGCCCTGTGTTCCTCTTGGGGCCGTGAATGGGCGAGGGGTCCATGGCAAGCGGGAAGACCCGCGCTGGTACGGAAACGGAAAGACTGTTCCAGGAACGTGCCCGAGATGGCTCATGGCTCTCTTCGCTCTTGGGAGCCTTGGTGTAAAGGGCTGGTTACGCCACCGCTCGTTATCGGAAGCTGTGGCTTTCAGAGTTTTTGACGTTGCGGCTCGCTCTCGGGAGCCTCGTGTTGAAGAGCTTGTTGTGTAACCGTTCGCTCTGGGGAGCCTTGGATTGAAGAGCTTTTTACTGTACCGATCGCTCTTTTATTTGGCGTCTGTCTCTGGGGCGCCTCTGGGGCCCTCATGGGCGATTCGACCACGTGGTGGGGCCGTAAAGGGGCGAGTTGATCCTCATGAGTCACCGCAGGTTTGGCACGCGTTTCCTCCCGCCGTCGCCATGTAGGAGAAACTAGGCCTGCCTTTGGTACACAGCACCTTCTGGCACGCAGAGGTCTCTGTATTGTAGAAAAGACTGTGGCTGATCTTGGAAGAGATGTTGCCGAAAAGTTTCGTGATGGTGTTGGGCCCGAACTTCGCCTCTGCGGTTGCTGCCTGAAGCTGCATGCTGCCGCTGCCTCTGGCATGTTGTGGCTATTTACTTGTGATGTGATGCCGTTACCTGCTACGGAGTGCTGCTTTTCGCTTTTGCTGCTTGAGGCTGCAGGGTGCCGCTTCGTCGTACCATTGCTGGATGACGCAAGCTGCAGCTCGTGAGTGAAGCGAGGAGCGAGGGCAAGAAGCGAAAAGTCAGGGTCGAGGGGGAGGTAAGAAAAGCGAGGAGCGATTAGCGAGGAGCACGGAGCGAGAAGGGAGGAGGGACGGCTTAGGAGAGGGAGAGAGAGAGAGAGAGAGAGAGCGCGGCGAAGATGGATAAGGTTGGTTGGTTGGTTGGTGACCTCCCAGCGAGGTGCAATGTTGGGACTGCGGGCTCAGCCCCTTTAGTGGAGAGCTGCGGGGCCCAACCAGCGACCGACAACAGCCCCACAACGTCAGCCAAGGGATGGATGAGACCTCTCTCGGGAAGCAGCCCTGGGAGAGAGGGGGAGGGTACGAGGACTTGCGTGCCACCGTGCCCAAACCTCCCCCAATTTCCGAGGCTCCCGTGGAGGTGCCACGCCCAAAACAGGAAGGCAACCGCTAGATTTGGGTATTCCTGGGCAGGGGGCATCAGCGGCCTTCTGGCAGGGATCCTCGCCCGGTCTCGACTCCATCCTACCATGACCGGCTCCAAGGGTCCACGCCGAGGTCCAGGTCGGCGCCCGACCCCCCTCGCCACACTCCAGAAAAAAACGCAACGGCGGGAGAGAACCAGCAGCCGCAACAGCCGCAACAAGGGAGAGCCGAAGAGAAGAGGGGAGGCAGGCGCCAGTAGCCAGGAGGGAGCACCGAGGTGCCAGGAGAGAAATGGAAGGAGCGAGGATGAGTGAGCACGGAGGAGCGTGAAGCGAGGAGAAGGAGGGCAGGGGCAAGTAGAGAGCGAGGAATATTCAGGCGCGTGCAGCAAGGAGCAAGGAGCGAGAAAGGAGGCATGGGAAGAAGCCAGCACACTCATGACGCATGTCTCCGCGGCCTCGGCGCGCGTGTGGCCGAACATAGGGCATTCTTCGCTCATGGGGATCTCCGCCAGAGTCTCTTGGGTGGCCAGCGCGGTCCCAGAGCTCTCTATGGAATCTTCCACCGGAATCCTGTTGGAGGCGGCTTTGCGTCTTTGGGGCCCTCTCGGGGGCCTGTTGGGAGCCTCTTGGAGGCTGAAGTGGGCCTCTTGGGGCGTCTTGGGGGCCTCTTTGGGGCCTGCTGGTGGTCTCAGGTGTCATCTTGGGGCGAAGGGTGCAGAATGTCAGTTCATGGGGCCCTCTTGGGTCTCTCTTGGGGACTTGTTGGGTCGTCTTGCGGCGATATTAAGGGCCTCTTGGGCCGCTTTGGAGCGTCGACAATGAAAATTTACCGGGCGAAAGACACAACCATATGCAGTTGTGAGCACCCTCGTTGTACACACCGCATTCGAAAGAGCTTATAGGACCACGAAACAAATGAGGGTTGTGCCAAAAAATGTCCCGTGGGCGCATGCGAAAGCAGTCTCTTGGGCCGTCGGTGGAATTACCTATGAGGCCACGAAACGCGTGAGAGGTGTGCCGAAATAGGTGCGGTGGGCGCATGCGAACGCAGCCACTGGGGCCGTGCCGAAATGGGTGCGGTGGGCGCATGCGAACGCAGCCACTGGCGCCTTCGACCCTCGGTGGAGCTGCCTATGGGGCCACGAAGCGTGTAAGGGCTGTGACGAAATAGGTGTGGGTGACGCAAGCGGGCGGTGGCACTGGGACCTTCGGTGGAGCTCCCTATGGGCCACGACACGTGTGCGGGGCAGTGGGGCCTTCGGTGGAGCCCCCTACGGGGCAACGAAACGTGTGAGGGGTGTGACGAAGCGGGTGTGGGTAACGCATGCGGGCGGTGGCACTGGGGCCTTCGGTGGAACTCCCTATAGGGCCACGAAACGTGTGATGGGTGTGCCGAAATGGGTGTGGGTAGCGCCTGCGGGCGGTGGCAGTGGGGCCTTCGGT